TTTACTGCAACCGGTACCATTGTTCAAAGGGACAATCGCATGCACTCAGTTTTTTTTTCCTGAAAAATGTAATGAACACCATTTCAAATACCATTCTGAGATTATCAGTCCTGGTGGGTTGCCCATCTTTCAACCACTACCTCAATCAACATCTCCCCCAGCTTAGCAAATCATAAGTAAGCACTACTGATGAAAATCCTTCAATCATTTCTTGCAGGCAAGCATCCTAGACCATAAGCTCCCTTTGTTGAGCACAAGATGCATTTTATAAAAGGCACATCAATTTCAGGTAGCAGAGAAAAGCACTACGAAGTTAGATGTAGGCTATTATAATTCTGTTCTTGTTTTTTGAGTGGGAAGGTTTGCAAGAACTGTGCTGTCGTAACTATTTTTTTTAACTTAAACAATACATTCCTTGCAAAGCTCTCATTCTGCAGAATAAGAGGACTGCAGTATAACTAACAACTGAATCTTTCAAGTTATGTTCAGCACTTCAATAATGACTGAGATGTATCTCATTAATATACTTATTATGCATGTATTTTCATTAGCACTTTAAGTTTGTATACAAAATTAAAACCTATTTGTGCTAAGATAAATAGACTATATGTCTACGAATGCTATTTATAAGGGAGAAGGAGATTTTATATAATGTTACATGATAAATAAAAATTCACCCACTTGGGATGATTTAATTGTTGCTTTAAAAAAAATTCAGAAATGCATCAGTAAAACATACAGAAGTATTTTAAAGTATAGCTATATGACTGAAAGAAATAAGTGTAATTAAACGTCATTCTGACAGAAAAATATTAAATTTAAAAATGAATAGTTAAGATACATTAGAAAACTGTCATAGTATGAATGTTAATCAGAATTAGTTTTGGTACCTGAGGTGGCTCAACTGACAGACTAATTGCTCTTATAAAGCTTAGTGTATAATTTTATTCATTGATGAGCTCCAGGTTAATTATGCTCATAGAATGCATTTAGTGTAAAATTTCATTGAAATAAACTGATCACAAACAATAAGAAAACCCAATAATTTTCTAATTAATCAAGATAGGCATGTTTACCTTTGCATATGCCAAATCTGCACATCCAAGCAGGCAGTATATTCATGAATATTATTCAAAGCAGGTATTGCTCAAGTGGAAAAAACAAATCTCCATCTAAGTGTTAAAATCACTGTTTCTTCCTGTTCAACTTGTAAGTATTAGATCAGAAGCAAATATTGATGGGGTTTTTTTTTTACACTTAATCTATTCAACTGGACTGAAATGTGAATATAGTTTTAAGACAGTCATGTACTGCTATTATACTTAATGAATTACAAAGAAATAAGGGCTGGTATCATGCTATAATTAATTAGTTAAAAAGAAACCCACAATATTTAGGTGTAGAGCTAAAAACTATTTGTAGGAACTTTGGAATCAAGTTAGAGAGATATATTTGAACTAATAAAGGGGAATATTTGTTGAAATGAGGAATTCCCTTGGTGTTATCTGAGCTTGGTTGTTTTCTTGCAGATGTTTCATTACCCAAACTAGGTAACATCATCAGTGCTAGTCATTTAGCAGTGATGATGTTACCTAGTTTGAATAATGCCTGCAAGAAAATAGCCAAGTTCAGAGAGCAGCAAGGAGCCCTCATATACTTGAACTTAAATCTGTGTCGTAATATTATTCAGCAATATATAAAATATGCAAATGCACAAAACATATTCAACTGGGACTTACAAGTAACAAATAATTGTAGACAAATACACTAAAACGTCTGCATTGTCTCATATGCACCCCAAACAATGAGCAGTCTTTCAGCCTCATCTCTTCTTCTTGATGAATTTACAGAAACAGATTTGAAGGGCGGGGATTACATCTCACTAAACAGTCATGCAAATAATCTCAAGTTTTATCAAAGTAATCTGGAATTTATATGCAAAATGTCCATCCAAAATAGTCAGTTTTACATAATATCTATGCTGGTCAAACTCAAAACTTTACCATCAAAATTTTCCAAACAAAAATACAAGATTTTAGTTGTTATAAAGATTTTGCAACTTTGAAATAGTTAGCATAGTGATAAATATAACTTATATATCTTTTATAACTTAGCTGCTTCCAGAGATACAATGCAGTCTATTTTTAAGGGAATATTAGTTATTAGAATGAATATAATGCGTGAAAAGCCAGAGAACGTATGTCCTTTTTCAAATAAATACTATCAGTATAAAGGAAGGAAAGAAACTTTTTTTAAAAAAAAAATCAGACTATATCTTTTACGGCTGCAATTAATGTATGTACACTACTCTACTAATCTATATATGTTTTTAATTTCCATATTATAATATAAAGTGGAATACAGTATCATCCAACTAACTTTTACAGCTTAGGTTCAATTGTATATTAATAAATGTTTCTATTTTCTTGCAAGGTTCAAAATCACCAAAAAAAGAGGAAATCTTATGTTAAGAGTAAGCAGTTGAATACATACCTGATAACCTGCTTAGTGTAGTAAATTCTATCAGCAATTTGAAAGGCCAACGACTTTGATGATCTAACTCCTTCTATTAGAAAAATATGGACAATGCACTGAAAACTTGTTACTAAGCTCTGTATTGCTCCTGGATAAAAACTGTTCTCTAAACTCTGCTCAGTCAAATTATAAAACCCACCTACAGCCAGCTTTGCTAATGAAAAAAAAAAGGGGGGTTGCTTTTCTGAACAATAGAAGAATTCCCCTGCATTTAGAATGCAGTTCCCATTAGAGCTAAGAATCAGAAATGTCACTTTTACCTCTGTTTTTTTTAATTGATATTGTCCCAACCCTCTTCTACGGTTCAGTGAGATAGTTTGTGAAATGATTAAAAAGAACGTGATCTGATCAAGAGGAGAGAATAATGGGAACGGAATGCTAGGTTAGCCATAGTGCAAAGTGCTGGGAACGAAGAGCAAGGGACTTTTTACTCTATTGTTTTTATTCCCATCTGCTCTTTAGACGTCTCAGATCACTTTGATTCTTTATTTACTCTGCTAAAAATGGGTTAAAAGTTGCCCACTTACATTTGGGAACAAGTTACAGATCTTTAAAAAAGAAAGAAAGAAAAAGAAAGAAAGAAAATAAATAAAAATCCTTGAATTATATCAAGTTTCCAAAAGGTCATCACTGTCTCTGCTGTGGCCTTTTCCCTATCCCAAATCCTCTATCAATATGTCATAGTGAGTTAGGCAAAGACAAAAGAGAGGCTCAGTGTGAAAACTGCACATATATCTAATCCTGACAAAGCAATGAATAGGCCTTCACAAGTATAATTATGCTTGTTTATTTGTTACCACGTACAGAGAGCTGATGAAAAAATCCATCAAAGTGGTATTATGCAGACACCAAGAGCTTCTTTTCTTTGGTTGCTAAAGCCACATTGAGGCTTAAATTCCTTATTGTTAAATTCAGAAGAAAAGGGGAGGAAGAGAGATTTTGGTTAGACTTTTTTGCATCAGTTGCTGACAGATCTTTTGTGTACAGCGCTGTATTATTAGATGCATTAGTTAGAGGCTTGCTCATTCAGTTCCCTCATTTTAGACCATACTGGGATCTGTAATTATAAAGTGCTACTCGCTTTACCTTTACTCTGGGTGTGGCAGGCATCTGACTTGATCACAAGTGAAGCAGATTTAAAACCTGACTTATTCCCCCCCTCCCTTTCAAATATTGGAATTTAGAATTTCCAAAGACAGGTACTTGAACCAAAGCATGAGGTCGAAATCTAAGAATTGAACCAAAGCATGAGGTCGAAATCTAAGAATTGAAAGCATAATCAAACTGAGATATAGGTCTTTGTAATAAGACAGAAACAAAGATAGGCAAAACTGAATACGTTCCTGTAACGAATTCAAGCCTGGCTGCCTGTGTGAACTTTTACATCTATCCAGAACCTAATTCTGCTAGCACATGAACTAAAGCTCTAAAAAAAATATTGAAGCAGCCCCAACATAGTATGGCAGATGCATGATGCAAAGAAGACCCTTTTTCTTGGAGAGAGATCCATATAAAAGCCATGACACACTAAGAGACCCTATCAAACATCTTTACGATAGCATGACTAGAAAGATCAGAGTTGGGGAATGGGTGCCAAATAACCTTCTCTGCTCCCTTTACTAAGAGAATTATATCAAAGTAAAAGCAATATGCATAGTTAATGTCTTTGTGAGCTTTCCAATTTAAAACAGAAAAGCTGTAATTTTTCTTTGCTGGCAATCTGGAAACACTCTGGAGTTAATTACAGCTGATTCGAAGTGAACGACACAAACAAAGACCAGTCTATGTCCA